AARAGGAAGAGGATCGTTGCGCGTCGACGTAAAAATAGTAATGAACACAGTGGTCTTACTTTTAGTGCATGGGAGTTCTCATGRCTTTTTTGCTTTTGATATTTTTTCTTGGTCGTCTTCGTTCCATCTTTAGTGACGTTCACATCGTTATTCAAATCCTGGGRAAAAAARGGGAAATAGAAAYAAACTTAGTGAGTCCTTCAAGAAACGTTACGAACCCTTCACCACCCACTGGTATATGATCAATGAGTGGAGGAACAATCCAAGGGGTGCTAAGTTCAATTTATAGGTTTCTATTTTCTAAGATAGACGCAAAAGATTAAGTGCATGCAATGACAAGGATAGTGACTTTCTCTCTTCACTAAAGGAGCCAAGGTTCTCCATACGAAGYGCGGGATAAAATCAAAAGATTGACGKTGGAACAGGTGCACAACTCTCTCTGATCATCTTGTCTATTACCAAATGGTAATAGTAACAATGAAACTGAGGGACAAGCGCGTTAATATTAGTAATCTTATGGAGTATATTAGTGGACCATCAAATCTTATCCTCCTTTTTTGTCAATATGTAGTTGCAATCCAYATTTTAAAAACTGAGATTAGTTGGATTAAAATTAGAACTCGTTAGTAATATTATTAATCTATTATTAATCATCATCATCATGGTTAAGATTATTATCATCCTGAATTAGTATCTTAATATATCTTATCGACTAATCGCAAGTTCGGTACGGTAGATTACGTATCGATTTTATATCCACTTCCAGTAAAAAGTGAAAAAAAAAAAAAACGTGGATCCAGTTAATGATTAGTAAAAGTTATTATTCTCACYACTAGACCTGGATTCTACCATCACTACCAATACGCCTTTTCTCCGTTCAAAGCGAGCAACCGCTGCTTTAGTTGACAACAGTCTCTCATTCGCAAAGACCTTATCAAAAACTAAACAAAGCACGAAAGAAAGTTGTCATTACAATAGCCCTATAACTTTGCATTTTCTCCTATTCTGTATTCCCAGAAGGTTCAAACTCTTGCTCAGGCTAAGCCTCAAATCGGAGAAGATTCAAATTTCTAGAGCTATTGTAATGTCAAACATTTTTTCGTGCTTTCTTTTGTTCTCTACGCAAGTTAGTCTGTTGTCTACTAAAACAGCGGTCGCTCGCATTCAACTGGAAAAACGCTTATTATTATTATTGTTATTGCTATTATTATTTCTGGTTATTCTCATCATAAATATGTTGTTATTAATTATGGTTAGTTCAATGGGTTAAAACGTTGTTAGCGGRCTACCTGTGGCAGCTTTTTTCTCACCGTGTCAGTAGACAAACGATTTAGTTTAGGTTTAATAAAAGGACTTGAATTTCGGCTCARTTTAGGGCTGCTTTGAGGTGACGATTCACTATCACTTGCAATGGGTGTTTCCTGCAAGGGAAATATACAGTGACGTTTCCATGGAAACTACAGTGTCGACTTGTGCAAAAAGCCCGTGAGATATAGTGAGATAGTACCGGGMCAAACTCTTTTGTTTTCTTTTCCATGGACTATTTTAAAAATCAAAAGAGTTTGACCCAACTACCTATCTAATGTAAACAGAGCCTAAGTCAGAGTAGTTCTTAGTATTCTTCTTTCTATCCCTAACTACGACCTTAACCATGTATCATGCTGAGCAGCCGTTYTGAATWTTCATGGGAGATTGCAGSTTTMTGGGCTTCCTGTGTTCTTAGCAACTGTTTTTTAGCGTTCGCGCGGTCGCAAGAAGTCCAGAATCCGTTAGCTGTCATCTATTTGTATTACAACGTTATACATTTTATCAATTGATAATCCATATGTTTTAAATATTTACCGGTTGGCTCCTACTGAGAGCGAACATACTCGCCAGGGTGGTCCTCTTTGTGCTGCGCGCATCTGCACTCAGGCTCGCGGCCTTGGAATGATGAGTGTCTGTCATGGCCTGGGTGAGTTTGTGCGGGTCAACCTGGAAAGACAAATCACATAGAAATGTTGGATTTTATATCAAGCAAATGGAAAATATGAATGCAAGGTAAATAAWAGATGAGAGCRCAACAAGTACGAACTGTGTTTCATCAAAATTTGCGCATAAAWAAATTAACTTTTTTACATGTAACTTTCAATTTCCCGCCTCTTGCTATTAGGTCCTTATTAGGAAGTGCCWCAGAAGATACAGGGATCAAAGAATGCCAGAAACGTCTACGTTAGGTGGTACGACATACCATCGCGTTGACAACAAGTTTATTAAGAGGTTTAATAGCCCAGTGACGTCATAAACAGCTGATGTAATTTGTTTTCAAAAGCGCGCGAAATAACCCTTAAAAAGTCGACACGTTTCCAAGCTCAACTAAAGCCATGGAGCAAAAATACGTAGAAGTTTAGGAGATGCTGTTTCAATTTTTCTTGAAAACAATACATTGTTTTTAGGAGTATATTTGCTTACAGATTTGATTGATAATAGATAAACTTTGTGTTTCAGGGGTCATACAAAGCAGAGGAATGTTGCTCATTGTCCGTGAGTAAACATAACAGAGATGAATCGACACGTTGAGCCCAGGATCATGTAGCATTGAGACTTTTGTCAGTTTGATAAATCAACCACATACTTACTTCCAATAAAACACCAACCAATTAAAGTTAATTRAATTTCTATTAATAGTGCATGGAATAATGCTTTGATATTTTGCGRCATTAATGCCGTCGTTAAAATCTTGAGATGTTATTTGACATTAGCAGAAGTATTCACTAAAAGAACAAAAACATAACCGAACGCACTTTAATCCCCAAAACCAACAAAGCTAAAACGAGTTATCACTTTCGGTGCGTCGACTGAACAAACCAGGAGGCGATACAGTCAATTATTTAACTCAAAAACCTTTAAATATTTAGTGACTTTGCTCTCTTGTGCACGTAGACTTCTGTAGACTTGAAGCGGCAGTTAGTAGTCAACAGCTTAGCAGGGATCAAAGAGGTGATCGGTATTAAAACTATCAGTAACACACATGCCTTTTTCATCGAGTTTAAATCTNTTCTTAAATCATGGAGATTCTTGGTTTTTATTTGTGATTATATTTACATTATATATAAGGATGAGTGTGAATGATGAAATTAATATACTTGAAGCTCTTAATACTCTTAGCAGAGACGATTTTACTGATATCTCTGCTAGAATTTCAGGAATCAAAAAGAAGGCAACTGCTATGAAAGGGTTTTTAAATACATATGAAATAGAAGGAGGAAGGATAGCTCCAAATATATTTCTAGAAAGGAATAAGCTTAAGGTTGTTAATCTAATAAATAGAAAAGAAAAGCCTACCAAATCTAATATAGTTTTAACTTGCGAATTCTATAAAAGAGGTAATGAAGGAACTGTTTATTCGCACGGAACTTTCAGATCTAAAATAGAGATCATAAGTGATTCGACAAATATTTCTGATATTTATGATAAATGGACAGAAGATATATTAGAAAGTTTCAGTAATTATCAAAATGCAGGATCTGGATGGATTTTTAGAAAAATAATAAGTCTTGAAATTAACATTGATACATTCGCGCCTATATCAGGAAGTTCTTATTTACCTCTTCCTAAAGAATTAATTCCAAAAAAGGCAATAATTAACATGAACAACAAAGATAACGAATGTTTCAAATGGGCAGTAACTCGGGCTTTATATCAATCAAAAAAGGCTAATTTAGAGCGTGTTGATAGCAAATTAAAGGAAGATTCAGAAAATTTTAACTGGAATGGATTAGCATTCCCAGTAAAAATCGAAGATATCTCAATATTCGAGGATAACAATCCATATGGCATTAATGTATTCGCATACAATGGCGAGGTATATCCTCTAAGAATAACTAAAAGTGAAAATAAGATCATTAATCTACTTATGATCTCTGAAGGAGGTAAAAACCATTATTCTTGGATACGAAACATGTCTCGTTTATTAAGTAGGCAAATTAATAACCACCAACATTATAGATTCATTTGTAATAGATGTTTGAATTCATTCAAATCTCAAGAATCTTTAAATAAACACAATGAATACTGTCAAAAGTCAGACGCCATAAAAATGTGTCTTCCTAAGAAAGGTGAAATTCTGAAATTTAAAAATCATAATCATTCAATGAGAGTTCCATTCGTAATATACGCGGATTTTGAATGCTTCACAAAAAAACTAGCTTCTTGTCAACCTAATCCTGAAAACTCGTATACTGAAAAGTTTCAATATCACAGACCTTCAGGATTCTGTTATTATCTAAAAACAGTAAATGACATATATGAGCCTAAAATGATATCTTATACTTGCAAAGGTGATGAAGATGTAGGTCAAAAATTCGTTAATTCAATTGAGAAAACAGTTAAGAAATTATATTCAAATATTTGGTATAAAAAGGTCAAAATGACTAAAATGGATAGAGAGCATTATAAAAATTCGAAAATTTGYCATATTTGCGAAGGAGATTTAGAAGAAGACAAAGTTTTAGATCACTGCCATTTAACGGGTAGATATAGAGGCGCAGCGCATAATGTCTGTAATTTAAATTATAGAATTCCAAAACATATTCCTGTTATATTTCATAATCTTGCAGGTTATGATGCTCATTTATTCATTAAAAATTTAGGAGTATCTGAGGGACCTATCAACTGTATTCCAAATAATGAAGAGAAATATATCTCATTCAATAAGTTAATAAAAATAGGTGAATTCGAAAAAAATGGAAAAATATTTGAAATTAAAAGAGAAATTAGATTCATTGATTCTTTCAAATTCATGGCAGATTCGTTAGCAGCGCTAGTAAGAAATTTAAAACCTGAAGATTTTAAAAATATGACTTGGATGTTTGATGATGTTAATCTTTTAATTAGAAAAGGCGTATTTCCCTGGTGGCTAGCTGGTTTGAGTTTGAAAAAGTGAGCCAAAGTCGGTCTTATATAACTACTGCTTCATTGGGTATATGACATCCAACGAGGAGCAATTATGATCATTCACTGCATCAAAGACTCGAATAAATCCTTCTGCACAAAATATTTGAAAATATTTGATCCAACCAGTTAATAAATTTTGTATCAGCTCATCCCGTTATCATTTGTAATACTAGACGTTACGATATCACTCAGAGTTCCCAGATAAGGTATCAAAATAATTTAAAGCCTCAAACACAATAGTTTCCGATTTGTTCCCGAATGATTTCCGAATGTCATCCGGCACGTTTTGCGCCGATATGGATGAAAATAAATGGCACGAGGAGAAATATATAAAATATTTCAAATTAAAGATGGAGGTCATGCTTCCTGTGGAAACAGTTTAGGAATGATTGAAAAACAAATTTGAGTAATTGGATTTCACATAGTAGACAAACTGCATGTTTTTTATGCATGCAAACCATTTCAGCCGCATTCGGTATGCACACAGAATACTTTGAAAGAATGGCCGGGGATGTACGGGCAYCCGTGATCCCATATTTAATTTGAGCACAATACTTTCCGATTATAATGAAATATTAACAAAGTTCACGGAGATAAATAAATAAACAATTAATCATTATAAACTAAATTTGCCAGTTTTTATTTTTAAAAAAGTCCCAAATCACATCCCCAAAACATGATGTGCTTTATATTAAGTAAAYACTTTTACCTTTTCTTGAAGATGGACACGTGATTGGTAAGAATCCGACTTGCAACGATAGCGAGGATCCTTCGGGCTGTTATCCGCCGACTTACTGAAGTAATTTCCAGTGGATCTTCTATTTTCAAGAGGACTTGTTGGACTGCTTCTTGGTGAAGACTCATCGCAATCGTCTGAAACACTCAATTTGATTTTAGGTGGCTTTGGACGTCTAGTCGCCATCATAAACGTTGTAATCCACAGAGATGGCTTAATATAGCTGTTAACGACTCATTGCTAATCCAAATCAACGTACTTCTATCGTACTATATCCAATTGACAGCCATTCAATGCTAGAGTTCATTTTGTCCTAGTTTTATGGACATAATGGTGGWTTTTTTAACCAGATTTGATGACCGGTACGGTTCTTACCAGAAATGCGTAGAACCAGTGTCATAAATAATAAGTCAAATATTTCAATAGCAAACGAGGTGACGATGGATCAGACAAATGCGCGAACGGGTATTGTTACTAGCTTTCTCCACCCCTACCCCATGCTAAGGCCTGAACGGTCAACTACCTAGGGGATGGACGGGGAAAGGCGTCATTAAGGAAGTATTTTTGAAGTCTTTGGTATCGTCCCTACTAATGCATTTTCGTATCGTTTTTTCATTGTCCTCAGTCTTCAAAGGAAAGAAACGCAACGCCGAAACACCATGAAAACTTGAGCTTCGTAAGACTAGATCGGAAAATCGGTCCGACGAATCGGATCACTTTTTAAAAAACACTGAGCACCACTACAACTGACAAAAACAACCATAACAATAACAACACATTTATTTCGTTTTTTCCTTCTCATAATTGGTGGTTGGACACGCGCCTCAGGGGATTATGGGTTAAAAAGTGATATTGAAATTCAGTACCATTCATTTTGCTCTCTTACTTTTGCAAGGTTATCTGGTTAATCTATAGAATTTTCCCAAATTACAATGCAAAGCTTCCATGATGGTTTTCTTTTATTAGCAGTTACAGTGTTTTAAAAGCTCTTGCACGCAGACAAGTTAAGGAGTTCTTACTTGACCAGTGTATGTCGTCCTTGGAAACTTGCACGTTACCATAGCAATATCCAACGTCACATTCAAACAATCCGAAACATTAGTTTCAAAACAAGCTGAACAAGAGAAGAGAGGCTTATAAARGATGAAAGAGTTACAATAATATTTGCTTTATGACCGAAACCTTTAAATTCAAAGTCCTTTGTGATTTTCTGAGTAAACCGTATGTGGTTTTCCTGTTTATTGTCCGTTACTGCACCGAGAATAACCCTGATTGGGTAGTTTTATCTCTCTTTTGTTTTGTCGCTCCTTTAGTAATGTACTTCTTTGTTCTTCATGCACTCTTGGGTAATAAATTTTTCAACACTTGAAAGCCTTTTCATTTGAATTGGGCGAACAACAAAGCGAAGCTTCAAGCTGAGGCACGAATTGGCGTTGACTTTTCAAATYCTTGCGTGAACAACTTCAAGGATCKTTTCCCAAGACATTGAGCCCTTTTCAAGCTCGAGGAGAAAGTGGAGTTGTTCTCTGTGATTTAAAGCAAAAGAGGAATACATTTAGAAGTTTGGACACATCTTGTTTACGCTTTAATCAAAGGATATTTACTTGCTYCATCAACGTTCATCAAACTAAATGTGACTTGTTACTCCAAGAAGTCAAATACAAAGCTAGACAGAATACTTGAGCTTGGTAAAATACTAGGTAGAGGTCCAGAAAAGGACAGAATTGTGCTAAATATTTACGAAGGTACGCTTTATTGCATTGCCAAACAAATATGCAASAAGAGATGACTTCACTGTGAAGTCATCTGTGAACGTAGAGGTCTTGAATTAAAAGCATTAAGTGGGTTAGTTAACCCTCGGAAAAAAAGAAGAATTTGCATCTTATGGATAAGAAAAGGTAGAGTAAACGTCTTTAAGTTGAAAATCTTGAAACTTTTGAATCAAAGTTTTTGTAACTTGTGGAAAAGAGGCTTGAAAGACGTGATTGCGAATCTGAACGAAACTGTCGTGAAAAGTTCGTACCTTCGTGGTGTTCGTTGTTGACATTCTTTCACTTCGGTGATTGARCTTCAAGTGAGCTTTTCAATCAGCCGTTATTTTAATTCAGCTTTGTATCTTGCATCCGTTATAGGACTGATTTAACTGGTTCTTTGAATACCTCTGGATACGCTGTTTGACCTACGAATGTAAAGCATCACTGGTTAACTTGGCTTCTTTGTGTTAACAAACTACTTCAACTTTTAGCATCAACTTCACTCTCAGCGCCATCATTTCAACTCTCAACTGTCAACCAAGAGCAAACAAGTGAGCTTTAGMTGAACAACTGACGTATGCAATCTTTCGTCAGTGTTTACTCGAAGATTTGACTAGAAAGTTCAAAGTCAATAGTTTTGATAATTCTTGACGACACGTAGCATCGTGTTATCGGATTTATTATGACTGATCAAACGGCAATGAYTGAAGGAATTAGTGAGGGTATAAGCACCTTATACGTCTGCATCGCACTGGTCATGATATTCCTCTCGTTGCTATGCAACTTAATCGTCATGGCAACGGTCTATAGCTGCAAAGAATCGAACAGTCCAAAAGACTGGCTTATTTGGAACATTTCCTTGTGTGACATCGTGTCGAYTTTATTCTCGACTTTATCTGTTGACAACGTMTTCATGAATTGGAGTGTACCGGGCGGATTTTGCAAGGCGAGCTATGCTTTAGCTTATGCTGGKTTTGCAGCGACCGTACTGTCACTGTGTGTCATGTCRATCGAAAGGTACTATGGGATATGTCGGTCGGTTGACTACCAAAAACGCTCCCTTGCCACAAAGTTTAAGTGGTCAATTCCTGGAATATGGTTACTCAGTATCGCATTATKCGTGGTATACTTTGTAATATATGGAACGCGTTCAGTACACWTGGTTGACGGGRAAACTGGACGAGTATGCGATGAAACATGGAATTCCTTACATGGTGCGATTTATTACACCATTATCCCATGTATGTTACTTACAGTGATTGCCTCGGYTTTCATGACTATTGTCCTGRTTAAGATTCTTAGAAAGCTTCGAGTTTCTCGCACACCGTCGTCTGGTGGAAGTGCTGTGCTTAACATGAAGAGAAAAAACACAGTAAAGATGATATTTGCTATGTTTGTAGTCCATTATCTTTGCTGGTTGCCMACAATTGTGTTGAAACTACTGACTGCTTATGGGACCATATTCCCAAGGTACTGGATTATGCTGGCGTTTTTCGACTTACCACATTACKCACGTTCGATATTTTACTCGTGCATTTACTATATTATGTACCCTGGATTTAGCAGTAATTTAAAGTCAATTTGTACAATTTGCTGGTGTTGTGCAACACGAAAAACGACRCCGAGACGAAACAAAGATGGAAATGGTAAGCCGACATCTTATATAAACAGCGTCGATTCAGAAGCTAACTGAGATGCCTTAGATAYAGTACGAATGGGATTCCTATTTCTATTCATACCGATGGAGGACTGGTTACAAGTTGAAACTGATAAAAYATTACAATCTTTCCCGGTCAGCAAGCYAGCAGGGCTACCACAAGTGAAAAGCTGCTAAAAGAATGAAATTTTATATTCAAATATATCCACTACTAATATATTTTGCTGTTTCTGTTTGAAGTTTTTTTTAAGGGACACAAATAAATCAAATGCTGCATATGAATTGTTGTTTGTTGTTATTTTTTGTTTGTTGTTTTCTTGTTTTTCAAAATTTTGATCCTTTGTTAATTAATGATACGCCATCTCTAATTGGGTTAATTTTCGCGGATTAATTTAGAAATTATGAAGCGGATTGTCATGGTTTCCGAATTGATGTATGGAGAGATTTATAGATACGGTGTGTTCCACTTTAAAATCGTTAGTATCACTTTCTATGTAGCGTACAAGCCCAACAAATTAACACGCGGACATATTTATACAGTTACAAATGCCTTGACCACACGTGTTCTTGGAGTTGATCAAGAGGTATCCCTAAGGTCCGCTTACATAAGAGTTAAATGACTCTTATATTTCTAAGTTTTAGGGAAAGAAACGAAACAGTTATTCCTACTCCTTCGACGCATATTTTCATGCACTAAGCTAGCTGCAGCAGTGCGCGAAATCTCAAGCATGCATTTCAGTGAAAGACTGGGCTTCATGTTTGATGCATGCATATCGCACAAATCGAATAAAACGCACATTTGAAATGCGTACATTTTATGAACCTTGCACACAAAACGACGCAAGTGCGCTCTTACAACAAGTCAAGTACMTTAAAATTATGTATCTAACACAATAAGTCGCTCCTATTAGTTTCCAAACATAAGGAATACAACGGGATTGAAAGGCTTCAAGACATGCTCCAAAATGTCTTCAATATCTTCCTCTTCAGACAAAAGATTTCTGTAAAGATTTTCAGACAAAGGATTCCTGTACAGCCAGACAAAGAGGGGGGCCTGGGAGACGGGAAAGTACAGGAAACCATACGACTGCGGAGAGATGACTTCAAAATATTCGAGATTCAGTTCGATGCTACGCTTTCTCTCCTTGAAAAATCGTTACTAACAGACATTCCTGAGTAAACCAGTAAGAACGCCTGCGTACGAGGCTGACAATCTCATTTTACTTACTTGAAGTCTTTTCTTTTTTAACACCTTTCTTTATTATATTTACTTTTTCTTTATTCCCTTTTTGTCCGTCTTCTTGCAAGGCTATTTCATTATTCCAAATCACTAAACAAAATCATAAACTGCCGATTAGATTTATAGATAATTAATTCTCATTCTCAAAGAAAAATTGTCATATTCAATTGTCGGACCTTGTTTTAGAGATACAATGCCTAAAAAACATTATATTTAGAGTGTCTAATGAAAACCGACTAAACAAAACCCAAAAATCATTTTATTACAAGGTAGCTTGAATCAAAGTCATTTCGTTCATAATCAGCTCAAAAAAGATGTGTTTGATTACACAGGACAAACTAATAAAGAAATTTCCAGCTGAACCATTGCGTGTCTAACTCCAAAAAACGCCGAAACGCAACGGTTAACTCGAACGCACGATTAAAACAACTGCGTTTGTTCAGCTGTGTGTTTAAGAGAGCCCAGAAGGCTAGCGTTAGCATTGATTTGTCCTCTATGTCATCACAATGTATTATTCATCTAATAAACACAAAGGGCGATAATAAACACGCCTTTGATGTGTCATAAGCCTGTGTTTGCCTATGTGTTTTGTTTTGCCTTGGGCTCGCCGCAAACTCGGTCTTTAGCCTTAACTCAATCTCCGACACACAGGAAGCCCACCCGGCGAAGTTTGATGAGAAAGTTAATGGATTGAAATACTTTGAGAGGCGGAAGGCAATGTTTCTTCCTTTCACTAATTGTAGGTCTTTATGAAATACAAAAAAGCGGCAAATTTCGCCCTAGGTCACGCCTATTCCGTCATAGTTCGATATTCTAAAAATAACATAATGCCTTGAGCCCTTCGACAGCAATATGATTTTCGTAATAAACTATCTATTTATCTTTTTGTCAAACTGTCGTTCTAATAAGGGGCCCGATTTATCCCTGTGCATAATAAAGATCATGTACCGATATGCCTCTCAGCAAAATACGCCGGAGAGTACAACTTGTACAATAATGTTCTCCTTGAAGAAGAAAAAAGAAAATACGTTAGATTGTGTTACCAACCCCGATTTTTTTCAACTTATACTTCTAGGTTAGTGAGTATTGCAAATTCTAAACCACTTCGAAATCGTGTCGTCATGTTTTTTTTAAATGTATTATTTTATAAAACGTTTGAAACTGGAAACACGATCGGTTACAAAAAATAGCATTTTTTTCAATTTTAATTAATAGAACTGCGCAAAATAACAAATACTGATCCGTCTAAAAGTCGTTTTGACAGCTTTTCAATAAAGAACAAGCCTATATTTGTATCGCAAAGTGGGTGACTTAGTTATTTACAATATGAACAACTAGCATTTTAATCGCCATTATTAACGCGTAAAAATAAATTACTCAAAACAAAGAGATCACAAATAAATCAAGAGCCACCAAGTGAGTTTGGCTCATTCACTAATCCTACTTGGATTACTCGCCATTGACTTCTAAGACGATAAAATAGCAGATGAAATTCAAAAAATGATTAAAACTACGTTTTAGATGAGTCGGAAAGTCCCATGACACAATCGAACACGTGTACTGTGGGTCGAACCGATCCGCCAGTGTACTTTTATCAAAGACTGTATAAATAAGATGTCAAAATGTGGGCTTAGATCAAAAAGCTAGTGACAAAACGTTGGTTTATTAGGCGACCATAACCAAATCCCAGAGTCAACACACAAAACACATCAAAACAACTCATTCACAAAGAATAGTGAACAAGTTATGGCTACGGCAAAGACCACGGAACGCTTATCGCTCGATGGTTTGGCCATGTCGATTGTGCGAGACAAAATGGCGCCCTAGTTAAATTGCTCTAAAATTTGATGAAATTAGGAAGGGATTTTTTATGAATCGCTTTGATTAACTTGAGTGTGTTAGTCGGGGAATTAGCACCAAGCACAAAGGCACCGGTGTTGTGCAAGAACCCTTTATTTTCACACGCAAAATTACTAGCGCTCAACTTTAAATTAATGAGAACATTTTCAACAAATACAACACAAAGTTACACGTTTATTGCTCGGAGCTGTCGATATTTCAGTTAACTGAAATGTTCTTTTTTTGAACATATTCAATTAAGAATGCTGGACGCAATATATTATTAACAAATAAAAATGTGTTGTTCGTGTTTGTTAAACTTCAAAAAGGATGAAGCTGACCTACTAGAGCACGCACGCGCGTGATTTTGTACATCAATGGCGCCAAAAAACTTGGCGCCATGTTTTGGCGATCTGTTTTGAGAAATGAAAGACCCATCGGGTTGGTATTCAAGCCTTCTGTTTTAACCGTTTCGGAAAGAGTTTCTCATCAATAAAAACGCAATAAAAAGGGGGAATGATCAATTAAAAGTTCGAATTACAGACGAAAACCAATGATAACAGACAAAAACCTTAACCACCCTTCTTTAAGACAAAATTGAGGTTTCCACCCTCTAAAGAAACGAGGAATTCGGCAATAAAACTTTCATTCTTAATTTATTTTCTTCATAAGGTCTTTAAATTACTACTTTGATTTAGCTAAATATGAATTTTGGTCGTGTAAACCGCGTTTATTTTTCAGGGTTGGATTCATTGGCCGTACAGTGGGCGTGCGAGAAATGACTCCCTAACAAAGGCAATTTTGAATTTTACTTTCGTCTCTTTTGAACTAATTTATCTTAAATCCTTCATGTCAATAGCTAATATTCCGTGTGAAAGCCATGCAGCTTCTTTGCCGTGGTTTGTGATGGCTTTGTGCGGCCTAGAAATCTCAATAAGATATTTCATTGTCGGTCTTGGTGTTGTTTGTATACGACTGTAGTATTTGGACAAGCTAGCTAAGTCATTTAATCAAACTTTCTTTATTAAAAGGAATCGTTGTTGTTCGGTAGAGAGAGGTCTAGCTTTGTGGGATTGCAAAATGACGGAACACCTAATCCTTTCGGTGTAATTCCTCTGTTTCCAAGCTGTCATCGTATTGTTGTTTTATTAAAGAAAAACTGAAAGAAGTAATATTCTTCCTTTATCTGCCCAGGCCAATCACTATCCTTCCTAAGAAAAAATTGCGGATAAGTCCCTAATTCTCTAATTTTCGCCGCAAGTTTTTCGCAAATCATTCCTACTTATCGCACACAGTGGTACAAATTGCATTTCATGAAATTTAATTTCAAATCAGTGTGTTGCGTGTGTTTAATGTTAGAAGTACGTCGAACGTCATGAGACACAATCATGCAATGTTTTTAAATGTGGTTTTCACAAGTTGCTGCTATCTAACTGTCAATTGTTCTTGATTGTAATAAAGAAATGAAAATCATTTTTATGTAATTTTGTCCAACATTAATATATGTATCTCGCTAATCACGTGTCTTGGAGCGGCTTTGGTTCGATTCAGCCTTGCCGATAGTCCGGAACAGGGAAGAAATTTGGGCGACTTTCAAAACACGTTTACGCTGTTATAGTGTATCACACCGATTCCGCCGTCTAAACTCAACCGTTTGAGTACTTCACTGTTACTGTTAAAAGGTCTGTAACTCAGTAAGAGGTAATTATGTTATTTTTTGGCGAGTTTTCTCTTCACTCTTTTATTCTTTTATTGGATTACTTAGCGTCCCTTGGACAGTGAGAAAACCGAGCAAGGCGCAATACAGAGCAAGGTACATTTAGCCATTCACACTATGTTTTTATCATGTTTGTGATTTGACTTTGAGTCGAACGTTTATATAAACTAACAAAGGGATTTAGATTAGACTAGAGTAGAAATGTCTACAAAGTTGTGAGAAGGGGGACATTAAGGGGTGCTTTCTTTTTCGACATCCTTATATTATTCTCTGGACAGTACATACAATATACAGTATACCCAGTTAATCACAACACAGCAAGACCAAATTGTTCGCTTTTATTAGGACAAAACCTAACGCTATGAATGCACTGAAATAGATATAAAGAGGATTAATATAATTATGCCATAATTTGTGCTCTTGAGACAAAAAATCGTACAAATTACAAGACTTGCGCTTATCAATACCTGACAAAGGATTTCAACTCGGTTTAATTAAGCATGTCGGTATTTTCACGCTTATTGACAATTTTCATTCACAATCCCCATTGCTCAAATGTTATTATCTTTTATTCTGTCGGGAAAGGTTTACAAACGAATGCCCCTCCCCCAAGTTCGCATTTGTTGTTGCCATAGTTACTTTCCCAATAGCCTTTGCGGCAAGAGGACTTTCCAATTAACACTCTTGAGCACTTTGTGTTATTGGTTATTCATGGAACATTTGCCGATAAATCTCATACGAGGAAAAACATATACATTTATTCCGAAGAAAGAGATAAAAAGAGCGCTAAAATACACAAAAAGGATTCGGGGTTTGGGGTCTTTTCACGGTTGAAATCTTAAGCGGAAAAAATACAATTTTTGCGTAGAAAATCATTTTGATTTATGTTGGAAACGTCCCTTTGAAATTCCGACAGTTGTTTTATTTTTCAAGCCCCTTAATTGCAGTATACAAACGCGGTGTGATTCTAAGAGATGCCGCGTTTGGAGGTCCAAAGGAAGCTTTTCATGCTAACTATGAAAAACTCCTATCAAAAAAAATAACACAGTATTACACCAGAAAGGTAATTTGATGTTTATTTACTTAGTTGGAACGGAAAACTCACTATGTTAAACGATTTTAAACTATCAGATCGAAATTGATCAATTGTTGATTGCGATTGTCTTTATAGGAACAGACATCGGGAGTGATTATCCTAGGCTCCTAGAAAACAAACAATGCTCAAACATGGGAATTACAACAACATTCACCCTCAGTGTTTAACTTTCAACCTCAACTCAATTCTCATTTTTATGGATAATTGTATTGAAGTCAGCAAAAGATCAATTTTACACATGATTTTCAACTGCACTTACTTCACTTTGATATTCATGCGTCGACGCAAGTTTTTTTAAAAAGTTTCATCTGTAATGTTACGGAGCTGATATGTATGTCAAACAGCGAAGTTCGATCTTTTTTGCTAATCAATAGAAGTCCAGGTTAAACAGTAGTACGACTTCGTCAGAAATCAGTCTGCGTAACGTCCATGCTTTTTTCATCCAAAGTATAGAGTACAGTACACATGTTAAGTTTTACAGGTACGTTCGTATATTTTCGGCACCACATCAGTTTATTTTACACTGATTTCTCTTTTCTATCTTGATAGATATTTAGCTTGATTATAACAAAAACAAAAATATCTAAGTACGAATAGTATGTTTGTATTTTTGCGCGATAAACAGGTTTTCCAAATGAGGAGATTTTCTGATAGAACATACAGATATCTAAATTTAAACTCATTTTTCTATAGAAATAGACGCTTTTTTATGTTTACATCGACAAAGTAAAGATCAAACACGATGTAGTCTGATTTATTTTGATTGGTTTAGTCTTCCTGACTTTCAGATTCTGTTTCGATGTAAACTTTTCTGCGATGACTGCAAACTGACTATCTATTTGTTTCGTTTCTCTCAGCTTTACTGAAAGGTTTTTACTGAAAGTTTTTTCCAAAGTTTATACTTTTAAGCTATGTTTCCTTTGATTTCACAAGAATATAAAAAGATCAAATACAGACGATGCTCTATCTAATCAGTCTAACGTCCTTGGCACCACACTAATTTAGTGGGACAGTCCTAGTTGATAAGGTCAGATCAGGTGGTCGTTCACTATAAAAATCCAATTCTGTTATCCCTTTATCAAGTTTATTAGAAATCCCAAGTAGTGATTATACGTTAATGAATGTCAGCGAAGTGGCGAAGTTCGAAATTGCCTCACAAAAGTTAATAAGGATTACAGTTTGGTGGCCAAAGATTTGGCTGATTGGCAGCCCGAACGACGGCTATGCACCGCCACTCCTTAGGGCGGAAAAGTTCTTTTTAGCCAGCTTGAAACAAAGGGAAAATACTACGACGAATTCACTCATAAAATATGAATCAACTTAGACGAGTGGTAGTTGCTCAGATAGAGTTTAAACGAGCATTTTAGCGAACTACCATAAATTCGACATGCCTAACATATCCAAAGAATTAGGATGGCATGGAATATCCACCAAAAAAACACAACGAGACATGGCATTAGTCTAAAGGCAGACACTTTTGGTGCAAAGAGATCCAGACTGATAACAATAAAAAAAACGAATCTTTTTCAGTAAACAAGTTGTAGTAACATAAAACAGAAGAAAGATGCGAGATCTTACATATAGGAAAGGAATTTCAAAATACTGAGTCGGCGGTATAGGAAGAAAAAAAAACAATGGAAAACTGACTTTAAAATCGATGGGAAAATGACCTTTGTATCGTATAGAATTAAGGTGCAAATCTTGCTTTTCTAAAACACAAAGACAACCTGCAGATGTAGAATTATGCTATAGAAACAGCTAATGACATGGTGTGTAGTGGATTTGAATTTACCATGAGAACTTTTGAATCGCTCGTAATTAATCCCGAGTTTTTTTCAGAATTTAGAGATGAAGGTGAAAACTTCGGTGTTTAATTAAACAAAGAAAACAAGACGAGAGATTCTGTTAAAGAATAGTGGTATAAACGAACTTATCAGCAAACTAATAACGTTTTGTAGTCAGAGGAGTGTTCAATTTGACTCGTTTTCTCACCTTAAATTAAGTTGTAACCTTTGTTTTAGAATATGAAAAAAAATGACTTTCAAAAATGCAACAAGATATACTCAGATTAAGAAAAAACTGAAAAATATCTTCATTAAAATAGCAAAAACATTGCTTTTTCATGAATATAAGGTAGACTAGTTTGATCAGTGTCATATCTAAACTCACATGGGCGCTACATTAAGCTCTTTTTTTGGTTCTTTGATAAGAATCAGGCTCTTTCATTGCCACCACGACCAGCAGTATCATCATGTCTGCCTAGACCTATCACCTTCAAGTGTTGTAACATTCAATTCGTTGGTTGTTGACTGGTCATACTTTAGAAAGTAGCCAGGTAGCATACAACCATCGCATTTTTTCCAAAGTACCTAAGATGAATTAAAAGGGAAGGCAATAAAGAGCTTCATGAATTATTTCTGTACATGTATGCGAAAAGAGTCTTTCTCTATTTTTTACTTTCTTGAAGAAAAAGTAAAAAAACTTTAAAGGACATGATGTTATACATACAAAGTTAGAAATAGATACTGAGTAAAATACAGTTATAAAGTTAAAATTAATCAAAACAACCTCATCTAAAATTTAGCAATGAGAAATGAAAACGTCTGGTCACAATGCGAAAAACTTGGATTTCGAAAACACAGAACAACGAAATGAATATCGAATTATGTATAAAATAAAAATAGCTTTTTCATTAACTGAGAAGGAAAAACACGAGATTCCTAAAGTTGACAATAATGAATTTAGTCGGCCGGAATTTCCATTGTTTTCATAAAATATCTGCAGTAAAAAAAATGTTGTTTTATCGCGATGAATAGTTAATAACATCGAAATTGAAGCGATCTAAAAGAGTTTAGTCACTTCCATCAAGATAACAAAAATGCTGTTTATTTGGTGATCGACATCTTATCAGCAAAACCGTTTTCCTTATGTGTAGAAATGTGAAAAAATGGAGGGAAAATCTTCAAAGAGGAAGAGAGATCAAAGGAGATTGGATTTTGTCTTTTTCTGCCAGGTGGGAAGGGCGTTAATATTGAATAAAGAGAAGATTTGCTGACTTCGATTCATTAATAAAATATGGAGGAAAATTCGATTGAGATTTTTTCAGCTTAAAAGGTTATTACTGAGTTTATTGTCTTGTCTATCTTAATTACATCAATGAAACTTTAACAGATAGTAAAATGGTTAGCAAAGTTATGGCCGGTCTTAAATTCACACCGGATTGAGAATCGGCCATATTCAGCTTCGGCGCGCGAATTGAATCTGACCACACAAATTCATGCTATGAAACTCGCCTGAATTCTACGAGATCACGACTCGACGAGATCTGTTAAAATATCAATTATATTGTATTCGATTTGTTTACATTTAAGACGTAAAATCCAAAGGCGATAGCAAAGTTTAATAAGCAAACAAGCTTTGTAGGTAATAAAGGCGATAGTCACACATCAAACGGGCCGTTATTCCGGACTTGCCCACACTATCACAATGAAAACAATAAACTTTGTTTGTAGTTAACATTGTGACTCGTGGAATGAAATCGAAATAATGAAAATAAAAAACATTGATTTTCGCTCTTAAATAAGTAAAAGAAATCTTGTTTTTCTTCTACGATGGAAGAGCGGCTTTCATGGAAGTGTGGTGCTAATAGTGGAGAAGTGAAAGTGGTCTGTTGCCAAAAGTAGAATCAACCGTGCCACGCTTGACAGGAAGTGTTTCTTTTCGAATTCAAATTCATAATCAGCGAAAATTGATGCAGCACAAAACATATTTAAAATGTAATGCCTTAATGAGATGGCCGACTTTTGAATCACACAACATGATGCCATTTTAAATGATAATAGATCACTGCGGCTGAGCAGTCACCCAGCATGACACAAGCTCCAGTTAGCAAAAAGAGCCCTTTCGGTCTTCAAGATATTTCAACAACAATTAGCAACGAAAGATGGTGAAAAAATAACACTATCCATGACAAAACGCGAGAAATAATCATTCTCGTTCA